AAAAAATTATGCAAAAAAATTCGGGGGGGGAAATTTAGGAGGTGTGGATTTAAATAAAAGTTTAGTAAGGGGGCCAAAAGGTTTGTTGGGGTTTGGTTTTTGGGCTTTTAGAGAAAATTTGGATCAAAGTAAAAAAATAAAGGAAAGAATATAAATCTATGGGGAAAAGGGGAAGGGGGGGGTTTGGGGGGTCTTTCCTGGGAAAGGGGTTGGAAAGAGGGGGGGTTAAAGGAGGTTTTGTGGGCGAGGGGCTTGGATTTCCAGAAAGCCGTGGGAGCGTGGTTAGATAGGGGGTGAAGGGACGAATGGTCCTTGGGACCTCCGTTTCTTTTTGGAAAATTTGGGGACCCGGGGTTTAAATATTTAGTAAAGGGATTCAGGGAAAAACCGGTTATTTTTCATATAGTCGGATTTGGCCCCGGGAAAAAGGGGAAAGTAAAAAACCCCTGCACTTTAAAGGAGGGGTTTGGGATATTGGCAGTTTGGAGGGAAAAGTTTTTGTATCTTTAAAATTTTAAACCCTTTTGGGACTTTTTGAAATTCGAGCACCCAGAAAAAAACATTTGAAATGTGTGAGTTTGGGGGAAATTTGAATGATGAGAAAGTATTTTTTTTTTGGGGAAATTTTCTTTTTTTTTTGGGTCCCCTTTGCCTCGGTGGGAGCCCCCCCGACTTTTTAAAAAAAAAAAAAAAAATTGTGAAAAAAAAAAAAATTTAAAATTTCCATTTTTATACCCTGAAAATGCAACTAATGCGAGAAATTTTATTTTTGGTTCCCCGGGAATGCCTGCATTGTTTATTTCTGGACCCTTTTTTTTAAAATTGGGAAATATTTTGAATTTTGTGTTTAAATTTGGCCCCAAATTCCCAAAATTTCCCGGGCCCCTTTTTGGGGGTAGTTGAAACATTTTTACTGGGGATTTCTTGTGTCAGTCGAAAAAAATTTGAAGTACAAAATACTAACTTTTTTTGTTTAAGTTTTTGGCCAAAAATTGGAAGTAAAAGTCGGAAAAAATAAATTGATCCCAAAATTACGATGATAAAGCCAAATTTGTAGAGGGGAATTTTCACAGTTTTTCCTTTAAAATTTTGTATTTTTTTGTTTTTTTTACCTTCAAAAAAAAGTCTCTCTAACCTTTTCATGAGAAAAAATAAAAAAATTTTTTTTTTTAAAAAATTCTGGCCTTGGCGCACTCTGGAAAAAGGTTTCCCCAAAGGGTTAAAGCGGCATTTTCACTTTTCATTTTCCCGGACTAAATTTGGCTAACCGTTTCCTGAATCTCTTTTCAAAATGTTACCCTGCTACACTCCCAAAACCCTTTTCAAAGGGCCCAAAAACCCTTTGTCTCTATTCCCCCCTATTAACACGCTCACACACGCTGGAAGTCCAAGCCCCTCACCCCCAAAACTTCCCTTTTCCCCCTCCCTCCAAACCCTTTTTTAGGGCTAAACCCCACACGCCTTCCTTCTCTTACAGATTCATGCAAATCTCCAAGTCCTTTCTGGCCCCTTTTTTCGATTCTCTCTAAATGCCCCCAAACCCCCTCCCAAAACCCCCCCTTCAGGCCCCCTTTGGGGCCCCAAAAACTTTTTGAACTCCACACCCCCTCCCAAATTTCCCCACTACAAATTCTCTGCATTTAAAATTTTCACCACTATTACCCCTTTGACATGATTCTCCACAGACCCAGCCACCTGCTCGCTGCACCCTTTTCAAACCCAAAGCGTCACACCCATGGGAAGGTGTTGGGACCACTATCCCGTACATTCCCCTTTTTTGCTTCCATGGTAACTTTTGTCTCCACAGATACCCCAATGCACCCCCTCAAACCCTTTTTTTCCCTTCATCACTTCATGGTTAACCCATTTCCCTTTATAAAAACCCCTCCACGGAAAAAGTCAGCTTTCCCAAAAAACTGAAAACTTTTCCCTTTTTAAAAATACCCCCCCTCCATTTTTGAAAATTTCCCAAATTTTTTTTTAAACTAAATTGTTTTTATACCCTCATCACCTTTTCTTATCCCTTTTTTCATTTTTTAAATTTCTACCTTTACATACCCTTCCAAACTCAAACCCAACCTGTCATCTTTTCTTTAGAATCCCCCAAAAGCCCCAGTATCATCAGCAAAAAGTAAAATGTTTCAACTCCCATTTTGTATTTGGGTTTTCCCCCTAATTTTAATCCCCACCCCCTTCCCCCCCAACACCTTAGCAAAAAACTTTTTTTTTACAACCCCATCTATAAAAAATGGGAAAAAAACCATGGTGCATCACACAACCCGTCTAAAACCAAAATTTTTCTGGAAGTTTTTAAAATATTGAAAAATAATGCAAAAACCCCCCTGGTTTATAAAAGCATCTGAGTTTGACACTTTTCCCGCGGGGTTTTTGACTTTGTTTTTTTGAAAGCAGCTGTCCTGTGTGGACACACAGGACGCTGCACAAGGGTGCTTATTTGGGGGTACACTTTTCTTGGGAGTGATGACTAAATTCTATTTGTTATATTGCACTGTTGGGGGGAATTTTTTGGGAGTGGGTGGGAATTTGTATTTGCCCAGCTTGGTGGACTGAGCCTATTCCAAAGGAATTTAATGAACTTTGTCTTTCATTTGCCATGTTGGGGGGCTATGCCCCTGTTAAATTTTTTGGAGTCTTGGGCTATTTGGAAGGGGCACACATATGTAAAGGGGCTGTTTTTGAATTTTTAATCATGTGCCAGTAGTTGCTTACTTTTATATTTGTGTGTGGGATTATTAAAAATTTGATGGTAAATTTTCTTTGGGGTCTTTTTTCTGGGCTCATAAAAAATGCAAGTTTCAGATTGTCTTGCTAATTTTACTTAAAACATAGTTTAAAAACTACAAATTATGTACAAACATAAACAGTGGAACCCCCGCCCTTTCTTTTTTTAATCTGTTCCTGAGAGCTCATCATAAGCCAAAATTATCTATAGCCGAATTAATTTTCCCCATAAGAAATAATGGAAATCAAATTATTCCGTTCCTGACACCCCAAAGTATGAAAAAAAAAAATTTTTACCACATGAAATATTAATTTTAATACACACAAACTGAAGAAGACATGCACAGTTACTACTCTGCTAAGAATAGAATACATGACACTTACCTTTATTGAAGATCTGGTGATGATTGATGGGATGGGAGGCAGGGAGAGTGTGGAAGTTTTTGTTTAGAAGGGGAATCCCCTTCCATTAGGACTTGAGGTAGCAAGTCCTTTTCCGGGGTTACTTCCCTTCTTCTTTTAATGCCACTAAGAACAGCTTGGGAGTCACTGGACCTCTGTCACACAACAGATCTGTCCATAGAGCTCTATACCTCCCGTTCCTTTAAGACTTTCCTAAAATGGGCCATAATATTGTCATTGTACAGGTTGCCAACACGGCTTGCAATAGCTGTGTCAGGGTGATTTTCATCCGTAAAGGTTTGCAGTTCAACCCACTTTGCACACATTTCCTTAATCTCTTTTTTCAATTCCATACTAATTCTCGCCCTTTTTACCACAAGGATGGCACTAGAAGCTTTCTTGGGGTCCATGGTGACTTATTTTGCAATTACAAGCACTAAAAACACAGGGATAATGTGAAATGTACCAAATGTATGTGTAGGTGCGACTGCACTAGCTGGCTTGTAAACACTGGCGCTGAGGCCACACGCGAGACGCGTCCCAGACAAATCACGCAAGGCAAGTTTTTTATCGTGAGGCGAGGCAAAAATTTTGCGTTCAAATGCTTCGTATGGCGGATATAACGTAACGTGATGCGTTTGTAAGGCGGGGGTCCACTGTATATACACACCATCAGGGTTTTCTTCTATTTTTCCTACTAGTTCTTGTTTTTGTTTATTTCTTATCTCCATGGGGAAGTGTAACAGGATTTTTCCTCCGTATGACATGTTTGTTGTAAGAGGTGACCACAATGCTGGGAGGAAGAGGCTAGTAACCCCTTCTATATATATTACTAAAGTTAAAAAGAGAAACTTTCGTTTTTCTTTTTGGACCACCCTGCTCCGGTGGGATACAGCCGGTATGTTGAAAGAAGAAGATCTGTACTTAAGCAACAGATTTCCATCACACCTTGGCATGCATTAAATAATGCAGTTATTATGTTTAGATGAACTACACATTATTCTTTGGGAAAATATTCCATTAGATACACATAGACAAGAATGGGAGTTCTTTAGGCAGTATTGTTATATTCTTACAATTGAGGAGCAGACTTTAATTGCCCCACATTATATGTAAGTAATGAAAGAGCTCTCTTTAAGATAATGCAAGCTATAATATATCAGTAGAATATTTCAGCAATATTAGTAAATAATCTTTTGTTATTTTTTATACAAGTACTACAAAATAATTTATTTATTTTCTGCAGGTAATGTAGTTTACATGTAATAAAATGTTATTAGGCATAAAAGAAAGTCACTAGCATAGTTTGTCAATGAATGTATAGCATGTATTGTTATGTTATATAAGATAGGTAGTAGGTTGCTGGACAGCAGCTGCCCAGGGAGGTACTGCCATCTTGCCAAGTGAATGTAAAGTGGAAACCTGTAGTAATTGTTTTACATGATGGTAGGATTGCTGGTGTCTTTTTTCTGTCTCATAAACATGCAAGGTTTCAGGTATGTCTTGCTACTTATACTTAGGTCACACTGCACATGCATAGACAAGCATATATATACACACCCCTCTGGGTTTTCTTCTACTATTTGCTTTCTAGTTCTTGTTCTTGTTTATTTCCTCTTATCTCCATGGGGAAGTAGAACAGAATTGTTCCTCCGTAAGCCATGCATGTTGTAAGAGGTGACTAAGGGAAACTTTATTTTTTCTTTTTAGGTCACCCTGCCCCGATGGGATAGGGCCAGTTTGTTGAAAAGAAAAGAAAGATATCATAACATTTAGTTATCCTGAAGTAAGCTTCAGTGGTATTTTGTAATGTTTTCTCCCATTTATGTATATTCACAGTTTGATTACCATTTCAGATGTATTGTTGAACATGTGGCAAAAGTGTTGCTCAAACATGGATGTGATAGTTGGTGGAAACTTGGAGAGGAAGAACTGCTTCCCCCAGAATTTGTGAAGGAGCTGGAACAGCAAGGCAAACAGCTGCCCCAAAAAGTATGTTTCTAAGCAGACATCTACAGCGTTGGATAACTAAAGTGTAATGAACACTTGTTAGTGCTCAATAATAACCCACTTGGAGACAAACTTAGATGATTAATTAGTCTGTATATTTAGATTTCCTTCTGGGATCCTCTTCATCTGCTGAAGATGATCCTAGGAGGTGATCAACTTTTTTTTTTTTTTAACACGTGCTGTTTCCCACCGAGGCAGGGTGACCCAAAAAGAAAGAAAACCCCCCAAAAAAAGAAAAAACCTTCATCATCATTCAACACCATCACCATCATTCATACATAATCACTGTATTTGGAGAGGCGCTCAGATATGACAGTTTAGATGTAACTCCATGTGGGTTATTATTGAACATTTACTGAACCCCTTCTTTAACCCTTTCAGGGTCCGTCCCGTAGATCTACGGCTTTATGGTGAGTGTCCAAACCGTAGATCTACGCCATGAGCTCAGCTCACTCTGATAAACTGAGTGGTACATTTGGGCCTAGATATGAGAGAATACATCTATGTGGTATGTGTGCACCACATAAAACAGATCCTGCAGCACACTGTGTATAATGAGAGAAAAAACTGAAATCATGATTTTTCGATTAAAACAGCAACTTTGCAGTGTTTTTTCGTATGTTTTTTATAGTTGTATTTGCGATTTCTTGGTCTCATTTGATAGAATGGAAGACATGTTACAGAAATAGAGATGATTTTGATTGGTTTAAGCACTGGAAATGGCTTGAAACTGAGCTCAAAGTAGCGGAAATGTTAAATTTTTGCCGATATTCAAGAGTAAACAAACGACCTCACACGTCTAATACACATCAGCTGGTGGGTCTAATATACATTCACAAATATGGTGATGATATTTATACAATTATTACAGTATTGCATAACAGTAAATCTTCTATTTTTTGGTATGTGAATAAAAATTCATTATGTGAATAAAAAAATCAAAATGGAATTTATTTGTAAAGCCTCAAAACATAACTAATTGAACAGAGGAAATGTTAGTTTAGTGCTAGGAATGCCTACATTGTTTATTCTGGACCCTATTTTGAAATTGGAATATTTTGAACTTTGTGTTAAATTGGCCAAATTAACAATTTCCGATCACTTTATTTTGTAGTTTGAAACAGTTGACTTGGCGATTTCTTGTGCTCAATCGATAGAATAGAAGTAATACTAGTGAAATAGCTAAGAATTTGGTTGATTGGAATAATGTAATTGACCTAAAATGGGAGTCAAAGTCGGCAAAATCGCCGATTCGTAAATATCGCTGACACATAAAAATTCGCGAGAGCATAATTTCGTCAATTTTCCACCAAATTTCGTACTTTTTGTTTTATTACCTTCACAAAAAGATTCTCTACGATTTCATAAGAAAAAATAACAAATTTTTTTTTTGAAAATTCTTGGACACTGGTGCGTGACTCCAGATTTGGGCCTTGAACCCTGAAAGGGTTAACAAAAAAGATTATTGTTACATACATACATATAGGTAGTAGGTTGGTAGACAGCAACCACCCAGGGAAGTACTACCGTCCTGCCAGATGACTGTGAAACAAAAACCTGTAATTGTTTTGCATGATGGTAGGATTGCTGGTTTCTTTTTCTGTCTCATAAACACGCTAAGATAACAGGGATATCTTGCTACTCCTACTAACACTTTGGTCACACTTCACAGACACGCACATGCATATATATATATACATACATCTAGGTTTTTCTCCTTTTTCTAAATAGCTCTTGTTCTTTTTTATTTCTTCTATTGTCCATGGGGAAGTGGAAAAGAATCTTTCCTCCGTAAGCCATGCGTGTCGTATGAGGCGACTAAAATGCCGGGAGCAATGGGCTAGTAACCCCTTCTCCTGTATACAATTACTAAAAAGAGAAAGAAGAAAAACTTTATAAAACTGGGTTGCTTAATGTGCGTGGATGTAGTGCGGATGACAAGAAACAGATGATTGCTGATGTTATGAATGAAAAGAAGTTGGATGTCCTGGCCTAAGCGAAACAAAGCTGAAGGGGGGTAGGAGAGTTTCAGTGGGGGGAAATAAATGGGATTAAATCTGGAGTATCTGAGAGAGTTTAGAGCAAAGGAAGGGGTAGCAGTAATGTTAAATGATCAGTTTATGGAAGGAGAAAAGAGAATATGAATGTGTAAATTCAGAATTATGTGGATTAAAGTAAAGGTTGGATGCGAGAAGTGGGTCATAATAAGCGTGTATGCACCTGGAGAAGAGAGGAATGCAGAGGAGAGAGAGAGATTTTGGGAGATGTTAAGTGAATGTATAGGAGCCTTTTGAACCAAGTGAGAGAGTAATTGTGGTAGGGGACTTGAATGCTAAAGTAGGAGAAACTTTTAGAGAGGGTGTGGTAGGTAAGTTTGGGGTGCCAGGTGTAAATGATAATGGGAGCCCTTTGATTGAACTTTGTATAGAAAGGGGTTTAGTTATAGGTAATACATATTTTAAGAAAAAGAGGATAAATAAGTATACACGATATGATGTAGGGCGAAATGACAGTAGTTTGTTGGATTATGTATTGGTAGATAAAAGACTGTTGAGTAGACTTCAGGATGTACATGTTTATAGAGGGGCCACAGATATATCAGATCACTTTCTAGTTGTAGCTACACTGAGAGTAAAAGGTAGATGGGATACAAGGAGAATAGAAGCATCAGGGAAGAGAGAGGTGAAGGTTTATAAACTAAAAGAGGAGGCAGTTAGGGTAAGATATAAACAGCTATTGGAGGATAGATGGGCTAATGAGAGCATAGGCAATGGGGTCGAAGAGGTATGGGGTAGGTTTAAAAATGTAGTGTTAGAGTGTTCAGCAGAAGTTTGTGGTTACAGGAAAGTGGGTGCAGGAGGGAAGAGGAGCGATTGGTGGAATGATGATGTAAAGAGAGTAGTAAGGGAGAAAAAGTTAGCATATGAGAAGTTTTTAACAAAGTAGAAGTGATGCAGGAGGGAAGAGTATATGGAGAAAAAGAGAGAGGTTAAGAGAGTGGTGAAGCAATGTAAAAAGAGAGCAAATGAGAGAGTGGGTGAGATGTTATCAACAAATTTTGTTGAAAATAAGAAAAAGTTTTGGAGTGAGATTAACAAGTTAAGAAAGCCTAGAGAACAAATGGATTTGTCAGTTAAAATAGGAGAGGAGAGTTATTAAATGGAGAGTTAGAGGTATTGGGAAGATGGAAGGAATATTTGAGGAATTGTTAAATGTTGATGAAGATAGGGAAGCTGTGATTTCGTGTATAGGGCAAGGAGGAATAACATCTTGTAGAGTGAGGAAGAGCCAGTTGTGAGTGTGGGGGAAGTTCGTGAGGCAGTAGGTAAAATGAAAGGGGGGTAAGGCAGCCGGGATTGATGGGATAAAGATAGAAATGTTAAAAGCAGGTGGGGATATAGTTTTGGAGTGGTTGGTGCAATTGTTTAATAAATGTATGGAAGAGGGTAAGGTACCTAGGGATTGGCAGAGAGCATGCATAGTTCCTTTGTATAAAGGCAAAGGGGATAAAAGAGAGTGCAAAAATTATAGGGGATAAGTCTGTTGAGTGTACCTGGTAAAGTGTATGGTAGAGTTATAATTGAAAGAATTAAGAGTAAGACGGAGAATAGGATAGCAGATGAACAAGGAGGCTTTAGGAAAGGTAGGGGGTGTGTGGACCAGGTGTTTACAGTGAAACATATAAGTGAACAGTATTTAGATAAGGCTAAAGAGGTCTTTGTGGCATTTATGGATTTGGAAAAGGCGTATGACAGGGTGGATAGGGGGGCAATTGTGGCAGATGTTGCAAGTGTATGGTGTAAGGAGGTAGGTTACTGAAAGCAGTTGAAGAGTTTTTTACGAGGATAGTGAGGCTCAAGTTAGAGTATGTAGGAAAGAGGGAAATTTTTTTCCCAGTAAAAGTAGGCCTTAGACAAGGATGTGTGATGTCACCGTGGTTGTTTAATATATTTATAGATGGGGTTGTAAGAGAAGTAATGCGAGGGTCTTGGCAAGAGGCGTGGAGTTAAAAGATAAAGAATCACACACAAAGTGGGAGTTGTCACAGCTGCTCTTTGCTGATGACACTGTGCTCTTGGGAGATTCTGAAGAGAAGTTGCAGAGATTGGTGGATGAATTTGGTAGGGTGTGCAAAAGAAGAAAATTAAAGGTGAATACAGGAAAGAGTAAGGTTATGAGGATAACAAAAGATTAGGTGATGAAAGATTGAATATCAGATTGGAGGGAGAGAGTATGGAGGAGGTGAACGTATTCAGATATTTGGGAGTGGACGTGTCAGCGGATGGGTCTATGAAAGATGAGGTGAATCATAGAATTGATGAGGGAAAAAGAGTGAGTGGTGCACTTAGGAGTCTGTGGAGACAAAGAACTTTGTCCTTGGAGGCAAAGAGGGGAATGTATGAGAGTATAGTTTTACCAACGCTCTTATATGGGTGTGAAGCTGGGTGATGAATGTTGCAGCGAGGAGAAGGCTGGAGGCAGTGGAGATGTCATTGTCTGAGGGCAATGTGTGGTGTGAATATATGCAGAGAATTCGTAGTTTGGAAGTTAGGAGGAGGTGCGGGATTACCAAAAACTGTTGTCCAGAGGGCTGAGGAAGGGTTGTTGAGGTGGTTCGGACATGTAGAGAGAATGGAGCGAACAGAATGACTTCAAGAGTGTATCAGTCTGTAGTGGAAGGAAGGCGGGGTAGGGTCGGCCTAGGAAAGGTTGGAGGGAGGGGGTAAAGGAGGTTTTGTGTGCGAGGGGCTTGGACTTCCAGCAGGCATGCATGAGCGTGTTTGATAGGAGTGAATGGAGACAAATGGTTTTTAATACTTGACGTGCTGTTGGAGTGTGAGCAAAGTAACATTTATGAAGGGATTCAGGGAAACCGGCAGGCCGGACTTGAGTCCTGGAGATGGGAAGTACAGTGCCTGCACTCTGAAGGAGGGGTGTTAATGTTGCAGTTTAAAAACTGTAGTGTAAAGCACCCTTCTGGCAAGACAGTGATGGAGTGAATGATGGTGAAAGTTTTTCTTTTTCGGGCCACCCTGCCTTGGTGGGAATCGGCCGGTGTGATAATAAAAAAAAAAAAAACATACATTTTTTTACAGATATCTGCCTTCAGCAAATTGTTCTTATGTCCCCATTCACCCTTGTTGCCTGGCCCTTCATGTTACTTTGGTTTCCTACTCACCTTCTTAGTGGAATCATTTGCACTGCTGTACTTGTGTATCACTTTTCCTGGGCATCTCTTTCAAAATCTACACTTCAGTTTCTTCAATGTCTATTCTTTTATGTACTACAGTATATCTTGTAGTATACAGGTTAGAGAAAGGCACAATTTGTTGTGTAAAGGTAGAAAGTTGAAAGTGAACATAGAATAGAGTAAGGTGATAAGACTATCAAATGATTTAGATAAAGAAAAAATGGATATCAAATTGGGGAGGAGGAGTATGGAAGAAGTGAATGTTTTCAGATATTTGGGAGTTGACATGTCAGCGGATGGATTTATGAAGGATGAGGTTAATCATAGAATTGATGAAGAAAAAAAGGCGAGTGGTGCGTTGAGGTATATGTGGAGGCAAAAAATGTTATCTATGGAAGCAAAGAAGGGAATGTATGAAAGTATAGTAGTACCAACACTCTTATATGGGTGTGAAGCTTGGATTGTAAATGCTGCACTGAGGAGGCGGTTGGAGGCAGTGGAGATGTCCTGTCTAAGAGCAATGTGTAGTGTAAATATGCAGAAAATTCAGAGTGTGGAAATTAGGAGAAGGTGTGGAGTTAATAAAAGTATTAGTCACAGGGCTGAAAAGGGTTTGTTGAGGTGGTTTGGTCATTTAGAGAGAATGGATCAAAGTAGAATGACATGGAGAGCATATAAATCTTTAGGGGAAGGAAGGCAGGGTAGGGGTCGTCCTCGAAAAGGTTGGAGGGAGGGGGTAAAGGAGATGTTGTGGGCGAGGGGTTTGGACTTCCAGCAAGCGTGTGTGAGCGTGTTATATAGGAGTGAATGGAGACAAATGATATTTGGGACCTGACGATCTGTTGGGGTGTGAGCAGGGTAATATTTAGTGAAGGGATTCAGGGAAACTGGTTATTTTATATAAGCGGACTTGAGTCCTGGAAATGGGAAGTACAGTGCCTGCACTCTAAAGGAGGGGTTTGAGATATTAGCTGTTTGGAAAGATATATTGTGTATTTTTATATGTATATATACTTCTAAACTGTTGTATTCTGGGCACCTCTGCAAAAACAGTGATTATGTATGAGTGAGGTGAAAGTGTTGGATGATGATGGAAGTATTTTCTTTTTGGGGATTTTTTCTTTCTCTTTGGGTCACCCTGCCTCGGTGGGAGATGGCCGACTTGTTGAAAAAAAAAAACTTCTAAACTGTTGTATTCTGAGTGCCTCTGCAAAAACAGTGATTATGTGTGAGTGAGGTGAAAGTGTTGGATAATGATGAAAGTATTTTCTTTTTGGGGATTTTTTCTTTCTTTTTGGGTCACCCTGCCTCGGTGGGAGACAGCCGATTTGTTAAAAAAAAAAATTCAGGGAAACCGGTTATTTTTATATAGCTGGACTTGAGTCCTGGAAGTGGGAAGTACAATGCCTGCACTTGAAAGGACGGGTTTGGGATATTGGTAGTTTGGAGGGATATGTTGTGTATCTTTATACATATATGCTTCTAAACTGTTGTATTCTGAGAACCTCTGCAAAAACTGATTATGTGTGAGTGAGGTGAAAGTGCTGAATGATGATAAAAGTATTTTCTTTTTGGGGATTTTCTTTCTTTTTGGGTCACCCTGCCTCGGTGGGAGACGGCTGACTTGTTAAAAAAAAAAAAAAGAAAATTAGCATCTGAGGGAGTGGTGTGAAGAGCACTGGTCTTAATTCTTTTTTTACTTTGTGAGTAATGGAAGGTATTAAACAGATTGCTAAATATTGATGCTAACTCTCCCACCCCCTTCAGCTTTGTTTCACTTAAAGCCAGGACATCCAGCGTCTTCTCATTCATAACATCCACAATCATCTCTTTCTTATCATTTGCACAACATCCACGCACATTCAGGATAACCTAGGATAACCCAAAAAATCCAGACAAAGTGCTGTACTCTGCTTGAAGATGTGAGTAAACGTGACGATGCAGTCTTGTGTCTCTCTCTGAGACAGAGAGCTAGACGGATAGACAGATAGACAGTGAGCTTGACAGACAGACAAATAGACAGACATGTTTGTGTGCCAGTGAAAACAAAGCAGGCCCTAATCTTTTCTTATCAAGTCTTATCAGTGCACCCTTGCGAATGCTCATCAAAATCAGATCTTAGTCAATGTTATCCCATCGTGTATCATTCCTGTCGGGGTGGACTTTTGTTTTTCAGCATGACAAGGAACTTATTTTGTTAAATTACGTATAGAAAACGACACACCGCATCCGCATCCCCCCATCCCAGCACCACGGCCCCGCCTCCCCCTCCCTCACCTCCCCTCCCTCCCTCCCATCCCACCCTCCACCTCCCTGCCCTCCCCCCTCCCTCCCTCCCCCCCTCCTCCCCCCCCTCCCCTCCCTCCCTCCCCTCCCTCCCCTCCCTCCCCTCCCTCCCCTCATCCCTCCCCCCTCCCTCCCCCTCCTCCCTCCCCTCCCTCCCCTCCCCTCCTCCCTCTCCCTCCCCTCCCCTCCCCTCCCCTCCTCCCCTCCCTCCCCCTCCCTCCTCCCTCCCTCCCTTCCCTCCCTCCCTCCCTCCCTCCTCCCTCCCCCTCCCTCCCTCCTCCTCCCTCCCTCCTCCCTCCCTCCTCCCTCCCTCCCTCCTCTCCCTCCTCATCCCTTCCCTCCTCCCTCCTCCCTCCTCCCCCTCCTCCTCCCTCCTCTCCTCCCCCCTCTCCTCCCCCCTTCCTCCTTCCCCCCTCCCTCCTCCCCCCCCTCCTCCCCCCTCCTCCTCCTCCTCCCTCCTCCTCCTATTATTATTATTATATTCTTCAACAATCCAAAACATTGCTGGGACCTATAAATACTTTGTATATATTCCAAGACAATAGTAAATGACCAAGGCAAGTGTAAATGTCCACCTGTCAATGTATTTGTGACAATTTGAGTACAATTTCAGTACCTAATACTAGTGTCAGAACAAAGATTGGTTATGAAATGACAGGAACTACTATAAATTGTAATTATCAGAACATAAAAATTATATAAAATAATATGAAAAATGGGAAAAAAGATATATCGGCAACATTTCTGCAAGCGGCAGCGCTCCATGTTGCCACCAGGTGATCTTCAAGTGCCAACTTTGCAGCCTCATATCCTGGTAAGTACTGACCCTAAATTTTTTTTCTTTTATCCTAAAATGTGCTCTTTTTTTCAATAAAAAAAAAAATTATTTTTCAAAATATTCGGGGCACTGGGGTAGTTTGGACCGTTTACGGGTTAAGAAAGAAAAAAAAAACACATTCACCATTACCGTCTTGTCAGAAGTGCACACATATCACAGTTCAAATAACGTGAATACCTATAGCCCCACCCCTCCTTCAGTGCAGGCACTGTACTTCACACCTTGAGGATTCAAATTCTTTTGCAGTGGAACTCCCTAATTGGATATAGCATAAGTGTCAACATAGAACTCTCTTTCCTCCAGGGTATGGACATCTTGGATATATGGTTTGACTCAGGATCATCATGGCATAGTGTCCTGAACAGCCCTTCAGCTGATTTATATCTTGAAGGTGTGGATCAATTCAATGGCTGGTTTCAGTCATCCCTTCTTACTTCTGTAGCAGTTACAGGAAAAGCTCCTTACAAGTTAGTACACTGTATTTTAAATTTTTGTGTATATTGAAAAGCTACTGGGATAAAATAAAAGTTATGGTAAACCTAAAAAAGGTGGGTGAAAAGAGTATTTTAATTCTTCAAAACATTTACACTCAGTGTATTAAAGCTCCAGGCAAGCACATAGAAGTTGCATTTCATAGTCTAATATCTCAGGTCATTTATATTAGAGTGGTAGGTAACACAACAGTTTGTTCAACAAATTGCAGTGATCGTCAGTGAAAATTTTAACCCCTTGACTGTCGCAACCCCCATCCTGAGGTGTCTCCTGGTGTCGCAAAATTTAAAAAAAAAAAATTATTTTTTCTTATGAAATGATAGAGAATCTTTTCCCCGATTGTAATGACACCAAAAAAATGAAATTTGATGGAAAACTGACGGAATTATGCTCTCGCAAAGTTAGCGACCTCGGCGATATTTACAAATTGGCGATTTTTTCCCACTTTGAGCCCTATTTTTGGCTAATTCCGTTGTTCCTGTCTACCAAACTCATAGCTATTTCTTAGAACTCCATTTTTTCTTTCGATTGAGTACAAGAAACTGCCCATTTACTGATTTCAGCTACCCAATAATGTGGTCAGAAATTTGCAATTTGGACAATTTCACGAAAATTAAAAAATATAACAATTTCAAAATAAGGTCCAGAATGAACAATGCAGACATTCCTGGCTCTAAAATAACATATTCTTTGTTCATCAGTCTCCAGGCCCCTCTGATATTAATCTTGCTTTCTATTTTGAATTTTTATTCAAACAAAAAATAGAAGACTTACTATTATGCAGACTACTGCAATACTGTAATAGTTGTATAAATAACATCAACCCATTCATGACTGCATATTAGAATGGCTAGTTGGACATTTATTGGACAATGACATCATTTGTTTACTTTTGAACATTGGCAAAAATCAAACATTTCCCCTAATTTGAGCTCCATTTCCAGGTTCTTTTTATAGTAAAATCAATCAAAATCACCTCTATTTCTATAATATGTTTTCCATTCTATCAAATGAGACCAAGAAAATGAGAATATAACCATAAATACTATACGAAAATAGACCACAAAGTCAGCATTTTAATTAAAAAAAACGGTCTGAGTTTTTTTTTTCTCATTATGCACTGCGTGCTCCAGGATTTTTTTATATGGTGCACACTGACCACACAGACCCATTCTCTCACATGTGGGCCTACCAGCTTTCTCCTGCTTGATTTGAAGCCACTAGAATTTACGATTATATATACGTCAAACACGGTACCTCGTAAGACGTATATATACAGATGCGACAGTCAAAGGGTTAAGGTGTCTCCTGGTGTCGCAAAATTTAAAAAAAAAAATTTTTTTCTTATGAAATGATAGAGGATCTTTCCCCGATTGTAATGACACCAAAAGAATGAAATTTGATGGAAAACTGACAGAGTTACGTTCTTGCGAAGTTAGCGACCTCGGCGATATTTATGAATTGGCAATTTCTCCCACTTTGAGCTATATTTTCGGCTAATTCCATTGTTCGAGTCGACCAAACTCATAGCTATTTCTTTAGAACTTTATTTTTCCTATCGATTGTGTACAAGAAACTGCCTATACCGATTTCAACTACCCAATAACATGGTCAGAAATTTGCAATTTGGCCAATTTCACGAAAATTAAAAAATATGACAATTTCAAAATAGGGTCCAGAATGAACAATGCAGACATTCCTGGCTCTAAAATAACATTTTCTTCGTTCATCAGTCATGTCTCCAGGCCCTTCTGATATTACTCTTGCTTTCTATTTTGAGTTTTTATTCAAACAAAAAATACGTAGAAGATTTACTGTTATGCAGACTACTGCAATACTGTAGTAATTGTATAAATAATGTCAACCCATTCATGACTGCATATTAGAATGGCTACTTGGACATTTATTGGAAAATAACATCATTTGTTTACTTTTGAACATCTTCAAAAATCAAGCTTTTCCCCTACTTTGAGCTCCATTTCAAGGTTCTTTTCATAGGAAAACCAATCAAAATCACCTCTATTTCTATAATATGTTTTCCATTCTATCAACTGAGACCAAGAAAATGAGAATACAACCTTAAATACTATACGAAAATAGACCACAAAGTCGGCATTTTAATTATAAAAAAAAAAACGGTTGGAGTTTTTTTTTCTCATTATGTACTGTGTGCTGCAGGATTTTTTTTATATGGTGCACAATGAACACAGACCCATTCTCTCACATGTGGGCCTACCAGCTTTCTCCTGCTTAATTTGAAGCCACTAGAATTTATGAATATATATAGTACGTCAAAAACGGTGGCTCGTAAGATGTATATATACGACCAAAACAGTCAAAGGGTTAAGAATACATACTCATAATTCTTCAAGTTGCCAACAGCTTCTTGCCTTTAATAATGTTTTTCCTTTATGGAAATCAAAAATAAAGTTGAATAAAAATAATGTTGTGTAATTCGTGTACTGAATCTCTCCAGAATGAAATATTACTTTAAACTCTACTAGATGAAATTGCTAAATTATTGATTAGTATTAAAGTTCTTTTTTTTAACATGTCAGCCATCTCCCACCGAAGCAGGGTGACCCAAAATAGAAAGAAAGCAACACTTTCACTGTCATTCAGCACTTTCACCATCATTCACATATCAATATTTTTGCAGAGATGCCCAGAAATAATAGTTCAGATGTCACTCCTAACAGCAGATCTCCCAAACCCCTCATTTAAAGTGTAAGCATTGTACTTCCCTTCTCCAGAACTGAAGTCCAGCTAACCAGTTTCCCTGAATCCCTTCACAAAATATTCCCCTGCTCACACTCCAACAGCTTGTCAAGTCGCTAAAACCATTCGTCTCCATTCACTCCTATCTAACATGCTCACATATGCCTGCTGTATGTCCAAGCCCCTTGCAAACAAAACCTCTTTCACCCCTCCCTCCATCCTTTTCTAGGACGACCCCTATCCCTCCTCCCCTCAACTACAGATTTATAAATTTATGGTAACATTAATGGAATTACAAAAGAGAAAACAGCTAATTAGCAGACCCACCTATGCAGATACAGTGGAACCTTGACTTACAAGTTTAATCTGCTCCGTGACCTAGCTTGTAACTCAATTTGCTCATATGTCAAATAAATTTTCCTCATTTAAATTAATCGAAATGCCATTAATCCGTCCCAGCGGCAGGACAAAATATTTTAATATAACACTAATATCAACTCTATGGCTTACTTATCTATCACAATTAATCTTATATGACATAATAAACAATGATATATATTCTAGAATGAATAAAATAGGCATAATATGATGAGTGATGATAGCGGCGGAAGCGGCGCCAGCCTCCGCCATTTACTCCCCCACTCTGACTATAGTATCTTCCCATGCTTTTATTATAAGAGAAAACACTAAAACAATATACGTATTTATGAATAAGAAATATTGTATAAAAACATAATAAATTATAATACACTACAGAATGTAAAGAAATAAACTGTTTATATAAAATGTATATTGTACTTACACACTTGGAGCAGAGATGGTGGCGGAGGTTGAGGGTGGAGGAGGTAGAGGGTGGGAGAATGGCAGTGCGGCATATTATGTCAGTGGCCCTATAAACCTCCAACATTGAAGGAGTTAGTTTTGTTTCGTCTTTTTTAATCACTTAATCACTTAACTAACTTCCTACACTCTTAATGCTATACTTTATCACTGAACTTAACTGATGCAATTTGTTTTGTTTAATCACTGAACTTAACTGATACAATTTGTTTTGTTTAATCACTGAACTTAACTGATACAATTTGTTTTGTTTAATCACTGAACTTAACTGATACAATTTGTTTTGTTTAATCACTGAACTTAACTGATACAATTTGTTTTGTTTAATCACTGAACTTAACTGATACAATTTGTTTTGTTTAATCACTGAACTTAACTGATGCAATTTGTTTTGTTTAATCACTAAACTTTACTGATACAATTTGTTTTGTTTGATTGCTGAACTTAACTTGTACAAGTTGCTCTAATTCCATGGAAATCATCTTTTTTTTCTTCTCAGCACTGTCTTTTGCACTTATTTTCTTAGGACCCATGGTTAGAAAAAAAGAAATTTGGCCAAATGGCTGTAAAAAAAATGCAAGCAAGCATGAGAGAACTGCTCCCATGGCGATGTAAACATGTGGACTCCTTACCTGATGTTTTGTCATTAGCTATACCAACTAGTGGCAGCATTCTGAATTATTATGTATTACATATGTATGTATGTATTAGTATTATTATTTTTATTATTATGTATTATTATTATAATTATTATTTTATTTTATTTTATTTTTTTTTTTTCAACAAGTCGGCCGTCTCCCACCGAGGCAGGGTGACCCAAAAAAAAGAAAGAAAATCCCCAAAAAGAAAATACTTTCATCATCATTCAACACTTTCACCACACTCGCACATTATCACTGTTTTTGCAGAGGTGCTCAGAATACAACAGTCTAGAAGCATACACATATAAAGATACACAACATATCCCTCCAAACTGCCAATATCCCAAACCCCTCCTTTAAAGTGCAGGCATTGTACTTCCCATTTCCAGGACTCAAGTCCAACTATATGAAAATAACCGGTTTTTCCCTGAATCCCTTCACTAAATATTACCTGCTCACACTCCAACAGATCGTCAGGTCCCAAGTACCATTCGTCTCCATTCACTCCTATCTAACACGCTCACGCACGCTTGCTGGAAGTCCAAGCCCCTCGCCCACAAAACCTCCTTTACCCCCTCTCTCCAACCCTTTCGAGGACGACCCCTACCCACCTTCCTTCCCCTATAGATTTATATGATTTCCATGTCATTCTACTTTGATCCATTCTCTCTAAATGACCAAACCACCTCAACAACCCTCTTCTGCCCTCTGACTAATACTTTTATTAACTCCACACCTTCTCCTAATTTCCAAACTCCGAATTTTCTGCATAATAT